CAGAAAATAAATTCACTAAACAAAAGTCTTCCCCCACCCCAACGGGACCCCATAAGGTGTCCAGGAACAGGGAAGTGCCCTCTCTGCCACAGACCACAGTGCCCTTGGCTGGTCCTCAGATGTGTCCCTCTGACCAGGAGCAGGAAGGGGGAGCACAAGGATGCAATGGGCACAATTTGGGAGCCCTGACAACAGCACCCCCCACCCTGGGCCTTGACAGGCCTGTTAGGGTTATTTCCTCACCTTCCAGTTTAATGTCTTGTCTGTCATCATACGACTGAAGGACTGCAGAACTTTCTCTTGGAAGGAGCTGTTCTCATAACGTTCACTTCCAAAGTTCCCTCGTTTTGCTGCTTCTTCTGGGCTTAACTGAAGAAACAGAATCAGATCTGGCTTTGGCAGTCCAATGTCAGGCTGTTTGCACCACTCCAGGCAGAAGTTCTGTCCCAGACAGAAGACAACCAAGTTTGAGATGAAAGAAATAAATGCAAAGAAGGTAAAGCAGCAGGTTAGCTAGAGAGTGGGGTGGGAAAGGTACAGCCAGAGAAGAGATGCAGCCTGAAACACTAAGCACAGGCTACGAACTGAAAAGGTGATATCCCAGCTTACCATGTGAGAATTCAGTCGTGGAAATTTTGGGGGGCCAAGTTTTGCTGTGCACCAAGGTGCTGTGCACCTCTTATGCTCATTTACGTCAGACAGTGCTAAAGATTTTAACATCTCTTCTGCAAAGCCTGTCAGAACTAAACACCAAGTCATATTTCGAGTCTCCACACAGCTGTTACCAGTCAAAAACTTGTTATCAGTCCAAGAAAGCTGCTCCCAAATACACCACACAGCTTCAGTGTAGACCTTTCTGAGCCCAATGTAAGGTCAAGGGAGGGCATCCTCCTCCTCTGCTCTGCTCTGGTGAGATTCCCCTGCAGTGCTGCATCCAGCTCAAGCTACGTAGAGCTACCCGAGTGAGTCCAGAGGAGGCCACAGAGATGCTCTGAGGGCTGGAGCAGCTCTTCCCTGGAGACAGGCTGAGAGAGCTGGGCTTGTTCAGCCTGGAGAAGAGAAGGCTCCAGGGAGACCTTAGAGCAGCTCCAGTGCTGCTCTAAGTATTGGTGAACCGAATGAGGAATGGCTTTAAGCTGTCACAGGGGAGACTTAGATATTATGAAGTTATTCCCTGTGAGGGTGCTGCGGCCCTGGCACAGGTTGCCCAGAGAAGCTGTGGCTGCCCCATCCCTGGCAGTGTTCAAGGCCAGGTTGGTCGGGGCTTGGAGCAACCTGGTCTAGTGGAAGGTGTCCCTGCCCGTAGCAGGGGGGTGGAACTGGATGAGCTTTAAGGTCCCTTCCAACCCAAACCGTTCTCTGATTCTATGAAATACACAGAGAAGCAGGGCCTACTGCAGGTCTCACTCACCTCTTTGGCACTTGTGAAGGCCACTCCAGAAAAGGCATACCTGTCAACTACAAGTGTGATCCCATTATGCAGTTTCTCTTTCATCAGTGGCCTGAAAACCACATGGTAGAGAAAACAAAGTTACACTCCTTTATAGCAATACAAATGAAAGGAAGCTCATGAGGCTGCTGCTTCCCTGTTAGTGTATGTCATCATTAATGGTGATCATCAGTGGTGTCAGGGTTATCTGTGATGCTGATTGCATTTAAATAGCGGCTTCCAGAGCCTAAAAAGGGCCGACAAGAAATCTGGAGAGGGACTTTTTACAAGGGCCTCTAGTGCCAGGACAAGGGGGAGTGGCTTTGAGCTGACAGAGGGGAGATTTAGATTAGATACAAGGGAAAAATTCTTCCCTGTGAGGGTGGTGAGACACTGGCACAGGTTGCCCAGAGAAGCTGTGGCTGCCCCATCCCTGACAGTGTTCAAGGCCAGGTTGGATGGGGCTTGGAGCAACCTGGTGTAGTGGAAGGTGTCCCTGCCCATGGCAGGGGGGTGGAACTGGATGAGTTTTAAGGTCCCTTCCAACCCAAACTATTCTACGAGTTTATTCTGTTTTTTATGTGGTGCAGTAGATTTGTGAAACACCCTGCCTCAGTCAGAGAAAAGCATCCTTTATTTGCGACAATGACTTTTCTTCTCACAGCCCACTCGTCTGCCTTATGCTTCTCAGTTTGCTTGCCAGCACCACTACAGCAAAGATTTATTTTTTTCCTGATTAAAACCTTTTGCAGTGTAGGTTTCCAGGTAAAAACAACAGCCAACACTGATTTCCCTAGCTCCACGCAGACTCAGGAGTCAAAAGCAAGGACAGCTGCTCACAGATGAATGCAGCCTTTGGCTAAAGGTAAGCTCAGACACAATTCCTTAACCGTTCTGTCACTCACACGGACTTCCTTGCAGAGCAAGGTCTCGTCATTCAGGAAAAGACATAAATTCCTAGTCCAGGATGGTACAGTCTCAGCCACCCCATTCTGAACCTGGTACAGCACTGGAAATATCTGCATCTAATGATGTCAAAATACCCAGCTGTGAGATTGATCTCCAAAGCTGTGAGAGTTCTTGAGATATTACTTCCAGACGTGTTTCCCTTGCTAAACAGGATCATACTCTCATACCTACTGCAAGCTAGAACCCCAGGAGGATTCAACACCATGCAATTTTTTTTTACAGCTTAACAAACATTATCTTTACACATGTTCCCAGCGGTTAGCAGAGAAGAGCAGGTGAATGGTGTGGTCCTCCAGGTTCTTATCCTTCACCAGGTAGGAGCTGATCAGCTGCCCAATCTCCGTTGTTCTCTCTGTAGGAAAAAGAAGGAGAAGCAGCAAATGCTGCCCCAAGCTGCTCTTGCCAAAGTAGTGTCCCATCTGTCCGGGGAGACAGATGTCAGTCTGGGATCTCCCTGTTTGCCACAGGTGGGACAAGGTTGGTCCATCCGCGGCTGGGGATATGTGTGTTACGGACATGAGGCCGGCGCTGGATGTGCCAGAGAGCCCTCGGATGGCGCCCCGGCACCCCCAATC